CACCTGTGTGTGTATGTGTGCACCTGTGTGTAAGGTGCCTGTGTGTGCGCGCGCGCTCATGTGGTGCTCATGCTGACCACGTGAACACGTGGAAAGTGCCCCTTGGAGCCGGGGAGGTGTGGCCTCTCTGTGCAGGGTCCTTTCCCTCCCAAGGTGCCCTTGGGGCCTGCTCCCAGGAGGGTGCCGGATCGCAGCCACACCACTGACCTGGATCACAGCGTCCAGCCCCAGCCGGGACCGCTCGGCAGAGTCCCCGTTGCCCGGCTCGCTGGAGGCGGAACTCATCGTGGGCTGGGGCACAGGACGCAAGGGAAAGCAGGGACTCTGCTGCTGGTGAGTTTCCTCCTGGGACCCTGGCCGGGCCAGGACCTCCTTCTGTGCACCGACCCCGCACCTGGGCAGCACCTGGCTCCTCTGTCCTGGGTGCCCAGCTGCCCTCTCTGGGTTGGCGGCACAGCGTGGCTGACTGAGCCCATAGGCGTTGCTGCGGCAACCATGACGCTGAGGGCTGGTTTTCCCTGGAAACAGGAGTGCAGGCCCCGTTGCCATGGGGACTAGGGAACGCTGTTGTCCAGAAGCTGTTCCCCAGGAGACCTGGAGAGGCCCTGGGTGAAGCTCTCCACCTGAGCGACCACACCCGGGCAACTGGCCTCTCACCCAGGCCCCCAGCCCTGCAGGGAAGGGCCCTCAGCCCTCCACTGAGCAGTTGCCCCAGGAGGAGTTGTGTGCTTGGTGGCCACACACCAGGTAGAGGAGGCGTGCAGACCACGGGTCCTTCCTGATTGAGAATGGTAAACTGTGACTCTTTTCCGAGCATTTGCAAAGGAACTTGAGTTCAGTAGTGCAATGCCATGTAACAGGTGAGCAGATCGAGCCTGCGGAGGGGAGGTCACCTGCCCCAGGACCAGAGCAGACCCCTGTCTTCCTCACCTGCCCTCGGATGCGCCTCTGGAACCTGACTTCCTTTTGGAGCCCGTCAGGTGACCTGCCCCGTGGCTCGTGCGCTTCATACTTCACTTCCCCTCACCTGAACATCCCCGGAACCACACAGACCACTGGCAGCAGCTGACCCGTTGGGGGTGGTGATGGGAGAGGTGAAGGGGGGACCGGGGCTGTCCCTGCAGGCCCAGAGCTCTGTGCTCCCCAGCCTGGGCCTCTGCAGTGAGTCTGGCTCCCCAGTGTTCCCTGCCCTCAGGGGATCCTCCTTCAAATCTGGACCTTTCCCAGCCAGGCTAATGCCGACAGGAACCCCTCTTGGAAACGGGCAGCCTCTGGAGGTGGGCCCTGCAGTGGGAGTGACAGCCCCTCTAATGAAAGGAGGCCAGTTCGGGGCCCTGGGGACAGGGGGTGGTCCCCAGACTCCCAGAGACCTGGGCTCTTCTGAGGCAGCTCAGGAGATAGAGGTGGCCTGCCGGGCAAGGCCAGAAGGGGCCAGCAGTGAGGGTGGACACTTAGTGGGTCAGCATACCTGTCCCCAGGGCTGCCAGGGGAGAGAATGACGGGGTCCAGGCCACTTCCTCACAGCCGAACTGTACGACGGTGGTGCCGTTGCTTAAAGGAAGCTCTCCCCGAGAAACGCGTGCCCTCTGTCTCCTCCTGGTGTCCTCAGGCTGCCCCCACCCCCTCCCCACCACCCGTGAGGATAGCCACGAGCGTGCCGTACGCAGGGACAGGACGGGCTCTTGGCCGGACACAGCCCCGCTGGGCATTCAGGCTGCCGCGGGGCTCACTGGACAGTTCTGGGGGACGGGGGACAAGGCCATCCTCTGAGCACGGCCCCTCTGGATTAGTGGTGACTTCTGGCTTCCAAAGGCACCAAGCAGAGGCCTAGGTTCTGACCGCCATGGCTGGGGCACCAGCCTGGCACCCAGGGCTGCCTCTAGCTCCTGGAGCCCTGGACCCCTGTGGGCCCCAAGGACTGAGCACCTGGGGAGCTGGGCTCGGGGGCTGGGAGAGTGCGACCCTGCCCTCTGGGGAGAGTTCCTACCTGGGGGGCTCAAAGGGGGGTTCTCGGACAGTGGGGGGATGAGAGGCTGCAGAGGTCGGTGTGACCACCCGTGAAGGTCCCTCAGACGAGTCCAAATAAGACCCGTCGGCCGGACGCGAGGGAAGTTGGTGCCCCTCTGGCGGGTGGGGTTGTCCAGCCTGTACCCCCCCCCACCTGGACACCCGCCTCGGCCTGTTCTGCCCCCTTGAACACTCGAGGCTGAGCAGAGCAGCCCTGTGCCCTCTGGCCTTACCCTCACCCACCCCAGCACCCTCTCCTCCAAGACCCCTTCTCTGGCCCCCATGCCCCCGCCCCCCTAGGCTCACACGGGCCCCCTACGCACCACCCAGGGCTTCACGGCCCGGCATCCGTGCTCGCGGCTTCTCGTCCTGGGCCATCCGTGGGCCGGAGAGCCCTCAGGGAAGGGCTCAGCCCTGGGCCTGGGCACAGCCCTCGGGGAAGGCTCTGGAATGAGAGAGGGTGTGATGGAGAAGCTCACCATATGGGGGGCCCCAGTGGGATGGGCCTGCGGGCAGGGTGGGCTCAGGGAGGACAGCGGCTGTCCTGACCCCCTCCTCATGGGCTCTGCTGGCCAGCGCCCTGGACCCAGCGCCTCCCCCTGGGGCTTGGAGAAGGTGCCCAGGGACCCCAGCAGCGAGGGCCATGCTGTGGCCTCACCCACCGGCCCCTGCCCAGCACGTGGCCACCCCTCGTCTGTGCACAGGAAGGTCCCTCACCGTCAGGCCATCGCCGCGTTTTGTCACCATTCCCTCCTTGAAGCAGGAACCTCGCTGGGTTCTCCTCAGCCCCTACTGAGTTTACAGTGACAGGTCACCCATAAACTCCCTCAGGACAGTCCGCAGTCCTGGCCGTGCCGGGCCCACGTGTGGACAGGGGGCCCCAGGGGGCTGGGTGAGGAGTGGGGAAGCTGAAACAGGGCCAGGCTGGCCTCACCTCTTTCTGTCCCTCGCTGGCCCCGGGGGCACCAGAATTTGCCACCCCTGAGCCAGACCCTCCCCAAGAGGAAGGGACCTCGAAACTCTCAGGAAAGCGTGGACTTCCCCATGCTCAGGCCACTCCGGCCCTTGGACGGCCTAACAGACGGAGCCGGGGTGGATGCTGCTGGGCCTGCTGCGGATGTGATGGGCGACCCTGACGTGTCCTCTAAAGACGGGTCACATGCAGGGCAGCCTGGGAAGAGGGTGGGAGGCCGGGAAGGAGCGGGCTCCTCTGTCCCAGCCCCGTGGCCTCCGGGCCGCAGGTCTCACTGAAATCGGCCCTGAGGTCTGGCTGGCGTTTGTGCCTGTCTCTCCTCCTCTGTGACCCTGCGCCCCGGGCCCCCTCGCCTCCCGTGCCCCCAGCAGACGTCTCTCCTGGTGGCCGGTTTGGTGGGACGGCCGGCGACAGCTCCTGAGAAGAGGGGCTCCTACTGGCCGCTGTGGCTCAGCTGACCCGGGTCCACCGCCTCTTTGGGGTGTGTGCCCTGCAGGTGCTGGACAGAAGTAGCCTGAGAATTCTGCTGTGGCACCAAAATGCATCCCTGTTCTGCCCACTGGCTGGGGTGCAGCCTCGGGCACTGCCCAGAACCGCTGACTTGTGACAAGGCTGACTGTCCCACTGCCCGCTGGCCCCAGGCTGCTGGTTGCCATCTGTGTGTCTGTGCCTCCCGGCCATCTGTCCACGCCTGAGGCCTGGCCATGAGATAGCAGCAGAGGCCCTGTAACGCGGTGCTTGGGAGGCTCACAGTTAGGGACACTGCCGGTCAACCTCTTGGGGTCACCCCAAGTGGGCCCCTGGGCACGTGTGCTGTGGGAGCGGTATCTCATCGCCTTCCCCCTCTGTCCAGCTCTGGGGGCCTCTCTCGGCATCCAGTCCACTGCCCGGAGACCACGAGGGGGCGCATCAGCCCTGGTGTTTTGGGGTGGGTGATAAGTCTCAGGATGTATCCCAGACAGGGGATAAGTCCTGGGAGGCCACCAGGAGCAGAACCCAGCCTGTATTCATCCACCGGAAGGGTTGCCCGAGACTGCTGCTGTGGGCGGGTTCTGGGGGACGGTCCTGGGGAAGGGGTGCGGGGGTGACGCATGGGCCCTGCCCCCGGCACCTGTTCTCACGGGGTGGGTACAGCAGAGCACCAAGCTCTGTATGATGGTGAAGACAGGAGCCTGGGGGAGGGTGCCTCTGCCTGGGGCACCTGGGAGGTGTGGTGCTATCGGGGCATTAAAACCCTGCCACGAAAGTCCTCATCGTCAGAGCTGAGACATAGGGGGAAATCTTCATGGCCTTGGATTTGGCAATGATTTCTTGGATATGATACCAAAAGCACAGGCTACAACAAAACAAAAATAATAGACTGGATAAATTGAAAACTTCTGTGCATCAAAGAAGCTATCGAGAGAGTGAAAAGGCAACCCTCAGAACAGGAGAAGATATTTGCAAATCATATATCTGATATCGGAATTAATGTCCAGAATATATAAAGAACTCCTACAGCTCAACAACAGCAAACTCCAAACAACTCAATTTTAAAATGGGCAAAGGCCTTGAATCAACATCTCTCTAAAGAAGACATATAAATGCCAATAAGTCCATGAAAAGATGCTCAACATCACTAATCGTTATGGAAATGCAAATCAAAACCACAGTGAGATATCACCTCACACCCATTAGGATGGCCACTATCAAAAAACCCCAGAAGGGACTTCCCTGGCGGTCCAGTGGTTAGGACTCCGAGGGCCCAGGTTCGATCCCTGGTCGGGGAACTAAGATCCCACAGGCTGTGCTGCGCGGCCAGAAAGAAACCAACCAACCAACCAACCAAACAAACAAACAAAAAGCCCCAGAAAATCACAAGTATTGGCAAGGATGTGGAGAAATCAAAATCCTTGTGCACTGTTGGTGGGAATAAAAAATGGTGCAGCCACTATAGAAAATAGTATGGTGCATCCTCAAAAAATTAAACATAGAATTACCACGTGATCCAGCAATTCCACTTCTGGGTATAAACCCAAAAGAGTTGACAGCAGGGTCTCAGAGAGACATTTGTACCCTCGTGTTCATAGCAGTGTACTTCACAACAGCCAAGTGTTCGTTGATAGGTGCAGGGATAAGCAAATGTGATCTGTGCATACAATGGAGCATTTTACTCAGCCAGAAGGGGTGCAGCACTGGCACAGGCTACAGCATGCGTGAACCTTGAAGACACTGTGCTGAGTGAAATAAGCCAGCCACGAAAAGACAAACGCTCTGTGAGCGCACTCGTATGCGGTCCTTAAAGCAGTCAAATTCATAGAGACAG